GGCACCTTTCCAGAGCACAGTATCCACTCAGTAAAGAGGCTATTGCGGGTATCACACCTGTACATGCCTCACTGTTAGAGCACAGAGCGTTAGTCCTGTGTCCAGAGTCACCTTGCAGTACCCCTATCTTGCCAGTAAGAAAAGCCTCAGGGGAATGGCGTTTTGAACAAGGTTCAAGGCCTGTGAATGATGCTGTGTTTGCTCGTGCCCCTGTGGTTCCCAATCAAACTACGTTGTTATGTGATTTATTTTGATGATTGTTTTTGTAAGAGAAATGCACTGCTTGAAAAGCATTTACTGCTGTTAGCGGGTTGTAGTTGTTTAAAGTTGCTTTAGATGTGATTTATTTTGCAGACTGTAGGTTTACAAAATTATAACTAAGCTACTGACTGAAGGAGTCATCACTGATTTCCAACAATACAATTTTCTGTCTGCCTGCTAGTTGTAGCAGTGTTGTAACCGCTAAACCTTTGCTTTCACAGCACTACCGGTGAAGACTTTAGAATTCTAAATTTTAAAAGTGAATGCTTTTAGCCTTGTGTAGAGAAGGCCTGTGTACAACATTGAAAAAGTGTTCTTGATGTAATCGATTCCTGGTTTTCAAGTGAGTTGATACGTGTAGTAAGAATATCTGTACTTTCGGGAACAGAGTTTTAAGTAGTGAGAATTGTGTTGACTGATCTTTGGAATTGAATTTAAGTGAACCAAATGTAATTTAAAATAGGCCTGGAATTAGTTAACTGATTGATCTAAGAGCATTTGACTGCTGTTAAGAAATGTAGATACCGTTAGAGAACTAAACAAATAAAGAGGGGAACCCCATTAATTAATATATGGACGCACACAATAACAGAATGATTGTGAATGAATGATTGCATAATGATGAACTGTTTGAACTTACACTTACAGGAACATCGGAAATCACTCAACCATTTTCTGATATCACACATTGGCCACAAGATGGCGATGAAGGACAAGATAAAGTGGACTCCTGACGGTTTGCAGGCAGTCGACAAAATATGACACAGTTGCTAACCTTTTCTCCTTGTTTAGGTTTGCCGGATCATTCTAAACCATTGAATCTATTGGTGTTTGAAAAAAAAAGAAGAACGTTTTATGTCGTCTGTCCTTATACAGGAAGTGGGAAGCAGTGGCCCGTTGCATACTACTCTAAGAGACTTGACAGTATGGTGAGAGGGTTGGTGTGTTGCCTCAGAGCGGTAGCAATGTCAATGTGCCATGTCCCTACCAACTGACGATGAAGGTGAGCCCCATGATTGTGCTGTCCTAGTTGACCAGGTCTGTAAGCCACACCCCGATTTATCGGATGTGCCTTTAATGAACGCTGATTTGGAATGATTTGTTGATGGTTCCGCTCAAAAATCACCTCAAGAAAAACCATTAGTGGCTTACGCAATAACCACGGCTGCCACTACCTTAGAAAGTGCTAGAATACCACCCCATCTGTCAGCTCAGGCTGCAGAATTGTTTGCTCTTACTAGAGCATTTTTTTTGGCTAAGGATAAAACTGTTATGATTTATACTGACAGCAGATATGCATTTGTTGCTTTCGTTGTCAGTCTTCTCATTGCAGCTGTTGTATGGGCCCTGGGAGAATTGGCCACAATGCAACTAAAGGAATACCAGCATAGTCCCACGGCAGGACTTAAATAACAGCCGCTCCAGCTCGAGCCAACGGCAGGCTCAGGACAGGAGTCCAGCAAACAATAGCCACCCCATTGTTTAAGAAGACTGAGATCGATGCATCAACATGATGATTGTCCTCTTTGTACAGATTAAGAGTTTACTTCTGTATAACTTTTTAATTGTCTAAATGATTCCCTTAAGAGTGTTTTGCGCCAAGTGAAGGTGAAGTTAATTAGAGTAAGAATTCACATTTTAAATGATTTGGACTGATTAAGATTTAGCGAAGGGAAAACTAATTAAATGTTTATGTTATTAATATGTGTTAATGGTGTTAATACCGTGTTTGATTTATTGTGTGTTTTCTTTTTTGGTTAGTGGATTTTTCACAGGTTAGAAATGATACCCCTTAAAGGGCACACAATTGACATTTTCTGAAGTTTCTATTGCCAGAGTTTTGGTTGCACACATATAAATTATCCTGATAACAAATGTACTGAAAAACCAAGTGTTAACCTGGTACACAAAATGTTTGAAATGTCTTTAAATAATGTCTGAGGTCAGTGATGTTTGACCTGTTGCATACTTAGAAATGTGCCTGTTGTAGACAGAAATTTACTCACAAGGTCGGCTCAGTAGGAATGGAATATTGGCTGAACGCCTAGACGCTGTGATTGCCAGATGTTCACTCCTGAGCAGCCGCACTCTGGGAGCAAACGCTTTACTTAGAAAGAATCCACTTGGCTATCTTTGTTATACCGAATCATCAGCAGACACTGGCAAGTTAGAACTGTATATGGTATGTGTAGAAGGTAATAGGTTTGAGACTCAGTAACCCAAAGGGAGGTTCCTCATAAGGATGATATACATGTCATATGTCACATCTGGAAGGTTTCTATTTTTTTATTTGTATCTTTACATATGGTGTGAATTTGTCATATTATTGTATAGAAGATTGAATCTTCTAAGAGGGGAATGTGGGAGAAAAATCACGTATTTACCTGATTTGTTTAATATGAATAGTTAACCATTAATATGCTTAACAATAGTAGAGACATTTCTTAACTATAATGCTGTGCTTTTCATAAGGATGGTTCTCTCTAGCTCCCTGAAGCTGGTCTGGGCGTATAGTCAAGGACATGGGATAGAGATAAACTGGAGGAACAGATAGACCTGTATTGTTTCAATTTCTCGTTGCTTCTGAGTAACCTGGTCACACGGCATAAGACAAAGAGCCTCAGAGTGACCACAGTTTTTCAGTTCATCCTTTTACTATCTTCCAAGGGCACAGCTGTGTGGAGATATGAGTAGTAACGGAACTAATGTTATCACTTGTTTGTGCGCTATGACCCGATACACATAGCCACAAGAAGAAAACAAGGTAGCTCCTGATCTGCTGGGGAGGGGTGGAAGCAGCCATGACTAAGCATTTTTAGGGCCACTATATAAGACGTCAGCATTTCCTGTTCGTTGGGCTCTCAACTAATCACCTATGGGTGGGTTGTTTACCAGCTCCATTATTGCAATAATTAATCGATATCAAATAAAGATTAATTGTTTGAAGAAATGACATGTCTCTCTCACTTGATTAGAATTTCCACAACATGATCCATGTCTCCGTTAGGGCCAACTCTCTCCAACACTCTCTGACACGACCGCCGCTTACAACTGCCGCTGAGAAACTAGGGGAGACTGAAGAACTAACACTAATTGCTAATTGCCTAGCAGAGGTGAGAGCACACCTCCCTGTACTAATTGCTGATTGCCTAGGAGAGGTGAAACCACTCCCCCCCAATACAGCCACTGATTACCAAAACAAGTCACAAATTGGCCTGCCCCTTGAACCTGGTTGATGTGTCAATAACTATCTGCAAATTATGAGGTCAGACATTTCTTGTAGTTGGCCACCAGGTTTGCACACATCTCAGGAGGGATTTTGTCCCACTCCTCTTTGCAGATCTTCTCCAAGTCATTAAGGTTTCGAGGCAACTCGAACCTTCAGCTCCCTCCACAGATTTTCTATGGGATTAAGGTCTGGAGACTGGCTAGGCCACTCCAGGACCTTAATGTGCTTCTTCTTGAGCCACTCCTTTGTTGCCTTGGCCGTGTGTTTTGGGTCATTGTCATGCTGGAATACCCATCCACGACCCATTTTCAAAGCCCTGGCTGAGGGAAGGAGGTTCTCACCCAAGATTTGACTGTACATGGCGCCGTCCATCGTCCCTTTGATGCGGTGAAGTTGTCCTGTCCCCTTAGCAGAAAAACACCCCCAAAGCATAATGTTTCCACCTCCATGTTTGACGGTGGGGATGGTGTTCTTGGGGTCATAGGCAGCATTCCTCCTCCTCCAAACACGGCGAGTTGAGTTGATGCCAAAGAGCTCGATTTTGGTCCCATCTGACCACAACACTTGCACCCAGTTCTCCTCTGAATCATTCAGATGTTCATTGGCAAACTTCAGACGGCCCTGCATATGTGCTTTCTTGAGCAGGGGGACCTTGCGGGCGCTGCAGGATTTCAGTCCTTCACGGCGTAGTGTGTTACCAATTGTTTTCTTGGTGACTATGGTCCCAGCTGCCTTGAGATAATTAACAAGATCCTCCCATGTAGTTCTGGGCTGATTCCTCACCATTCTCATGATCATTGCAACTCCATGAGGTGAGATCTTGCATGGAGCCCCAGGTCGAGGGAGATTGACAGGTCTTTTGTGTTTCTTCCATTTGCGAAAATCGCACCAACTGTTGTCACCTTCTCACCAAGCTGCTTGGCGATGGTCTTGTAGCCCATTCCAACCTTGTGTAGGTCTACAATCTTGTCCCTGACATCTTTGGAGAGCTCTTTGGTCTTGGCCATGGTGGAGAGTTTGGAATCTGATTGATTGGTTGCTTCTGTGGACAGGTGTCTTTTATACAGGTAACAAGCTGAGATTAGGAGCACTCCCTTTAAGAGTGTGCTCCTAATCTCAGCTTGTTACCTGTATAAAAGACACCTGGGAGCCAGAAATCTTTCTGATAGAGAGGGGGTCAAATACTTATTTCCCTCATTAAAATGCAAATCAATTTATAAAATTTTTGGCATGCGTTTTTCTGGATTTTTTTGTTGTTATTCTGTCTCTCACTGTTCAAATAAACCTACCATTAAAATTATAGACTGATAATTTCTTTGTCAGTGGGCAAACGTACAAAATCAGCAGGGGATCAAATACTTTTTTCCCTCACTGTACGTAGGCTAAAGAAAATGCCAGACAGTGCGTTCTCTAGTGAGTATTGGAGGTTGAGAAGGCCAGCGGTTCTAGTGTTAAGGGTGTTGTGCAGGGAGATTTGTAGTCTTCCCATGTATCAAGGCAATGTAAGCTAATTGCACCTACCCATCATTTCCTTGTTGGGCAGCGATATGTAGTGGCAGAAGTCCTTTCTTGCCCGTTTTGTTGGCATCAGCTTTCTGAGAAAGAAGAATCTCCACAATGTCCTCATGGCCATTCTTTGCCGCCTCATACAGAGCTGTGGACCCATCGCTTGCCTCTCTGTTGATATCAGCACCTAGAACATATTCAGTGCAATGTACAGTTAGAAAAGTCAACACAAAATCGATGGTTAGAGCTCCACAACAGCTCTATGTGGTTTGGGGACAGTCTCAATTCGGTGTAATGCCATTTGGCCTACAGAATTCACCCGCTTTTCCAGGGGAAAGTCATACCCATACCGTGTTTAATAAGAAATCAAAGTGTTTCCACATGTCCGCTCTGGGCTGCAGTAGACAGGGGTGTGAAACCGTACATGTTGGTTGGGCTGAGATTAGCCCCGTTCTGGACCAACATCTCACAGATCTCCACATTGTTGCGGCTCACAGCCTCTAGGAGAGCTGTCCAGCCATGGATGGAGTATTTGTTCACCACAGCACCATGATTAAGAAGCATGGCCACAATCTCGGCATTGTCCATTTCACAAGCTGTGGAATAGGGTCAAAGATTGACAGACAGCAGTTAAATGGAAGAATTTCAAAGTCTTAGTCATGGAATACAGTTTCCTAAACAACGGTTTGGGGGTATTCCCGGGGTACTCAAGACAGCTTGAGAGGATACTGGGAGAGACAATCTGTAATGGCAGATTTTGGGTGTAGCTGTATTTCTCATAACAAGCCATCCCTGTCTCCCAATAACCTCTCCTTTCTCCTGAAGTGTGCCCTTGTTTACTAGTGCTCCCCACAAATGTACAGTGCCTTGCAAAAGTATTAATCCCCTTGGTGTTTTTCCTATTTTGTTGCATTACAACCTGTAATTTAAATGGATTTTTATTTGGATTTCATGTAATGGACATACCCAAAATAGTCCAAATTGGTGAAGTGAAATGAAAAAAATGACTTGTTTCAAAAAATTCAAAAAAATAAATAACGGGAAACTGGTGTGTGCATATGTATTCACCCCCTTTGCTATGAAGCCCCTAAATAAGATCTGGTGCAACCAATTACCTTCAGAAGTCACATAATTAGTTAAATAAAGTCCACCTGTGTGCAATCTAAGTGTCACATGATCTGTCACATGATCTCAGTATATATACACCTGTTCTGAAAGGCCCCAGAGTCTGCAACACCACTAAGCAAGGGACACCACCAAATAAGCGGCACCATGAAGACCAAGGAGCTCTCCAAACAGGTCAGGGACAAAGTTGTGGAGAATTACAGATCAGGGTCGGGTTATAAAAAAATATCCGAAACTTTGAACATCCTACGGAGCACCATTAAATCCATTATTTAAAAATGGAAAAAATATGGCACCACAACAAACCTGCCAAGAGAGGGCCACCCACCAAAACTCACGGCCCAGGCAAGGAGGGCATTAATCAGAGGCAACAAAGAGACCAAAGATAACCCTGAAAGAGCTGCAAAGCTCCACAGCGGAGATTGAAGTATCTGTCCATAGGACCACTTTAAGCTGTACACTCCACAGAGATGGGATTTACGGAAGAGTGGCCAGAAAAAAAGCCATTGCTTAAAGAAAAAATTATGCAAACACGTTTGGTGTTTGCCAAAAGGCATGTGGGAGACTCCCCAAACATATGGAAAAAGGTACTCTGGTCAGATGAGACTATAATTGAGCTTTTTGGCCATCAAGGAAAACTGTGGGGATGTTTTTCATCGGCAGGGACTGGGAAACTGGTCAGAATTGAAGGAATGATGGATGGCGCTAAATACAGGGAAATTCTTGAGGAAAAACTGTTTCAGTCTTCCAGAGATTTGAGACTGGGACGGAGGTTCACCTTCCATTTATACATTTAAGTCATTTAGCAGACGCTCTTATCCAGAGCGACTTACAGTTAGTGAACACATTTTTTTTTTATACTGGCCCCCCATGGGAATCGAACCCACAACCCTGGCGTTGCAAACGCCATGCTCTATCAACTGAGCTACATCCCTGCCGGCCATTCCCTCCCCTACCCTGGACGACGCTGGGCCAATTGTGCACCGCCCATGAGTCTCCTGGTCGCGGCCGGCGGCGACAGAGCCTGGATTCGAACCAGGATCTCTAGTGGCACAGTTAGCACTGCGATGCAGTGCCTTAGACCACTGCGCCACGCAGGACAATGACCCTAAGCATACTGCTAAAGCAACATTTGAGTGGTTTAAGGGGAAACATTTAAATGTCTTGGAATGGCCTAGTCAAAGGCCAGACCTAAATCCAATTGAGAATCTGTGGTATGACTTAAAGATTGCTGTACACAAGCGGAACCCATCCAACTTGAAGGAGCTGGAGCAGTTTTGCCTTGAAGAATGTTCAGAAATCCCAGTGGCTAGATGTGCAAAGCTTATAGAGACATACCCCAAGATATTTGCAGCTGTAATTGCTGCAAAAGGTGGCTCTACAAAGTATTGACTTTGGGGGGGTGAATAGTTATGCACGCTCAAGTTCTGTTTTTTGTCTTATTTCTTGTTTGTTTCACAATAAAAAATATTTTGCATCTTCAAAGTGGTAGGCATGTTGTGTAAATCAAATGTGTAAATCCATTTTAATTCCAGGTTGGGAGGCAACAAAATAGGAAAAAAGCAAAGGGGGGTGAATACTTTTGCAAGCCACTGTAAAAGCATTCGATCGGTGCAGGCATGGGCTGGAGGGATCTTCCACCACCATGTTTCTTATACCAGCAGTTTTCTTTCGAATACATGAAGGGAAAGTTTTTCAGCTACATTTTTCTCACCGTGTGCTGATCTTGCTACCCAACAAGTCATTTTACTATCAGTAACCTATGACTTATTATGTTTAAAGTAAACGGATAATAACAAAGGGATTGGCAGATATTGTAGGTCTTAATAGGTCTTGAAGGCAAATGTTTTACCTTTGTATAGGGGGCTCTCTCTGTCCTTGTTGGCAAGGTCTGGGTCAGCCCCCTTCTCCAGTAGTGCCTCTACACAGGCCACCTTTTCCCTTTCCACCGCCAAGATGAGAGCGGTCCGGCCTTTCAGGTCGCACTTGTTAATCACACCAGGTTGAGCTTGAAAAGTTGAAAGAACACTAGGCTATACTTTATTTTATACTGTATTTTACAGTCTGCTATTTAGCTGGCATTTACTTGGTAAAATGGTAAAATACTTGGTAATTACATGGTAAAATGGGTGTACCATTTGGTATGGACTGCTATTGTAATCAATTGTTAAACTCTTTGATGTGAGGCTAGAAAATGTGAATTGTTACCACCACACACTTTCCCAGTAAATAACAGGTAAGTACCATCTTAAATGGGACTGTCAAATATAAATATACCAGTCTTTATAAAAAGGACAACAACAATTATCCAAAGAATGACTGTACTAAATGTACAAGAATTGAATTGCATTTACCGCCAAGAAGAATTCTGACACACTGGTCTTGGCCATAATATGCAGCCTCGTGCAACGGGATCCATCCGTACTTGTCAGGCTGCAGTATGTTATTCCCCCTGTTTCTTGCCATAGCTCGTACCGTAGTCACATCACCATTCAGGATGGCTTTCACAATAGGGTCCTGTTCCCTAATAGGCAAACATACCCATCATCATCCACTTGCCCTTTTCCCCTAGTCCACATAAACTACAAAAGAGCTAACGTATGCTACTGTACCTGTAGACTTCCAGTCATTGCGCTAATGCTAGTTAGCAATGGCTCGGAAAATTACCTCTAACATCCTTCACAATGCACAGATACATAAAAATGGTATCCACAAGTTCATCTGACTCTGGCTAAGTAGAGAAACAGCTTCATTGCCAGAATCTTGCAATATCCCTATAAAGGGGCAATCCAAAACATTCTCGAACCAAAAAATGTTTTGGGGGGATAACTTTGAGTTTAGAAAGTTGATTCAAACTAAATACACACATCCTTAGTTAGGGTTTATGGTGATGGAAAGACATTGGTTACTTAAATCGGGAATTTCACCACTTTTCAACCTCATATTTATTATCTCCAGCACCATACCAGTGTCTACATAAATTATGTGAAAATGCCGCTGTGGTTAAAAAGATACAATAAAAAAGTGAAATTTGATGATGTCATCAAAGTAAAAACATTTTTAAATACAGTGATTTTCAAAGACTCGCGGTCACGTGGTGAGCAGGAAAATGCCCTCCCCTGGCTAGAAACTTGTTGCAGGTTTTGAAAATCACTGTTGTGCACTGTTGTTCACTTTTAAAGTTATAAAATTGCAATTTGTAGGACCTTTGTTCTTATCTTTTACACTACAGAACAAAGAAATGCATCGTTTTCACACACTGTATGTAAACTCTGGTACGTTGCTGGAGATAATGCATTTGAGGTTGAAAAGTGGTGGAATTCCCAGCAGGTTTCCCAGCAGGTTTGTATCCTTTCAGGAGGAAAAATTATGTACAAAGTACAACAAATGTCATTACATATTATACAAACATTATTACATATCCTAAAGTGTTTATGTCTTGGTGTGAAGGCAATATGTGTTGCTAAATACACTCTGTGAAAGGACACACTTACTCCTCTGTCTCCGGCACGTACTGAATCGAGCCATCGCCTCTGTGATATGCCAGCATGCACTTTCCATTGCCAGTGACAAAATGAGTCACCACAATGTCTTCACATTTCCTTCTTTCTTCACATTTCCTTCTCCTGCTACAGGAACAGTGAGATATATTCTGTTGAAAGTCATAGAGCTGACTGCTGCAAATGTGTACATAAAATAAATTAAACTAACATGGTGGGACCCTAATCTAATTGTATATTGTGTGTTTCTTCAAAGTGAAATGTTTGAATCCTTAATCAATTCTCATTGCTAACATGTGTACTATGAACAGCTCTGTATCAATCAATACAGTACACCCATCTAAAATACTTGTCCACTATCACAATCCTAGTTCATATCTCTGCTCTAGTGTTCCTCCGAAAGCATTTCTAAGTGGTAGGTTTAAGGCATGTGCATAGTTAATATCCAACATGTACAGTTGCAGGCCACTAAAAAGTTAGCTTTTTATAAACCTTGGTACCACGTTACAAGTTTTTGTGACAAAATATCGAGTCACTATTAGTCAAGTTAGCTACAGATGAAGGATCTTAATTTGACTGGTGTTGTTGCAGCAAAATAATCCTGCAGCAACAGGATTTGAACATTTAATCCACAATGTTGTTGATCGGTGGTTAAGCTATTAGCTGGCCAAAATTAGGCTACATGAAAAGTGCAATACTGTTAATATAACCATGTGTTAGAGCGGATTTTCAGTGAATGTATGTAAACCACAAAGCTCATTTGCATTTCCTGCCACGCAGGAATTCTCACCAACAAAAGAGTGATCAAATTAAGATCCTACATCTGTAAGTAAACACTGCACGAGTCAAGTCATTTGTTTGAGAAAACCGTCACTCTCAGAGTTGTATAACTCTGGAAACATACATTTGCTTTGAAGGAGATGTCTGTATAGTGATCCATAGACACACATTACTGACGAGATCCATATAATAATCAGAGAAAGCTTTTCTTGAACATACCTTGACTGGAAAAACTTTGCCTTTATGCCATGTATTGACTTTATAGCTATTTAGTAATGACCAGATAATTACTTAGCTGTACACTGTAACTACAGATAAGGTACGTAATAAGGACAGTTATAGTGCTACATGTATTATGCCAAGAAATTTGAATTACATGTAACTATCTGTAGCCTAAACTTCATGTAAAGGGGGGCCCAAAACCCAAAGTGGATCATAAAAAACAATGATGGGTCTTTTCAGCTGGCACATACGCGTCAGGTGGGTTGGCAGTAGGCGGCCTATGGCTTGGGTCCTCCCTTGGTGGATTTGATGGGTTCGGCCTAGTTGCGGGTGGATTTACCCTGCACTGGACTGTTCTTCTGCCTAGAGCTGTGGAGGTCTTGCCGGCTTCACCCAGTGAAGTGGCATTGTGGGGATCACTAAGGCTGCGTTCGATAGCCAGCTGCATCAGCTCGTCATCTGACAGGTTGCTGTAGAGAGTGTAGTCATCAAACCCCAGGGTGGGGCCCGTAGTGGAGCCAGGCATGGTCATGCTGGCAACTGCAATGTTGGATCTGGAAAGAAAAGAGAGCATACAATATATCAGTTACGTATTATGTTTTATGCATTATGTCCACCAGGTTGGATCTTGAGAGACCCATTCCTTAGCACCTACACCAGGGGTGGCCAAGCCTGGTCCTCGTGGGTGTCACAATATCATTCATCTAGAGACCATGATTAAAGGAATAGTTTACCCAAATTACATAATAGTTCTGATTGTGTAGATGATTTGGACATGATGTGCGAAAATGGGATTATCAGGGATATTGACTTGCATTGGTTATGTGCTACAAATGCAAAAAACTGAGTATGTGTAGACAGTGGCCAGATAAACAAACCTTGTCCATACTACTTGCAAGGTAGGGGAATCAATATGCAGCTCTGTAATTGGGGTGAGTTATCCCTTTCATTTGGACTGGAACACACTACATCCTCCTAAATCCAGTGTTGGCCACACATTACATGGTGGTAATATCTCCTTTCTCCTGAAGTGCAGACTCGTTCACTATTTGTAGTTTAAGATTAATCAATCAATGTACATGCAAAAACACAGACATTAAAAACTAGATTTGCGCAAAGGTTCAGACTTTCGCTTGTATCTCAAGTAAGGAATTCGGACAGAAAGTTGAACTTTTGATTAGGTTACTATATGCACAAGACATCATTTGAGCATTTTAAGTGTAAATAGGGTTGTTTTTTACAAATGAAAACATGTGAACCTGTGTCACGGATTCTGCCGAGACTGCCCTTCCTTCTGGTTCAGGCAGGCTTCGGTGTTCGTCGTCACCGGAATACTAGCTGCTGCCGATCTATGTTTTATGTTTCTATGTTCATCTGGTTGTTGTCTAGTGTTGCACACCTGTTTCCCATTATGGTATTATGTCCTTCCCTATTTAACCTGTTCGCTCCCACTGTGTGTTGTGCGTGTTTGTTACTTGTTTCGAGTGTCGTTTGTGAGCGGGTTTGCTCCTCCCTGTGTTGGAGGTATTTGCTTGTTTCTTTACTATACAGTAAAGTAGATTTTCATTTCATTCTGTGTCCTGCGCTTGACTCTGGCCTACTGCATTCCACAGACATTCATGACAGAAACACGCACCACAATGGAGTCAGCAGGAACAGCCGGATTAACTGAGACGATGGAGGAACGAGTCCAACGACAAGAGATGATGATTCAGACTCTCGGTGTCACCATGGAACGAGTGTTCCAGACGATGGAACAATGGGAGAGAGGTGGTATCCCGTCACCATCTCCAACCACTCAACCACCTACAACACTGGTCACCACTCCGCCACCTGGGTCCAGTGGGATTCGGCTCTCGCTCCCATCGTTCCCATGACGGTACACTTGCCGGGTGCCAGGGATTTCTCCTCCAGGTAGAGCTCTACAAGGCCACCATTCACCCGGCGCCCTCTGGATACGAGAGCGTGTCCGCCCTCATCTCCTGTCTATCGGGGAAGGCGCTTGAATGGGCCAACGCCGAGTGGGGAGGAATAGACTTGAGAACTGTCCGTTACGTCTGTTCCACCTACGACAGGAGATGAGGAGTGCGCAGGAGTTTGCGCTGGAGTTTAGAACTTTAGCAGCCAGTGCAGGATGGAATGAGAGGGCCCTGATCAACCATTATCGTTGCAGCTTAAGGGAGGACGTCTGTCGTAAACTGGCCTGCAGGGACACCGATCTCAACATGGACCAACTGGTGGACATGTCCATCAGGTTGGATAACCTGTTGGCAGCCCGCGGAAGTTCTGATCGGGGACCGTCCATTCCATCCTCCAGCACCTCCGAGCCTACCCCCATGGAGCTCGGAGGTGCTGCGGTTAGGGAGACGGGGAGAGGGTCCGTCCCCTGCACCAACTGTGGCCGCAGAGGACACACTGCTGGTCAGTGCTGGGGAGGGTCCTCAGGAGGTCGAGGCAGCAGGCAGAGCACTGGTCGACCGTCTCAGGTGAGTAGGCACCCGACTCACCCAGAGCCCCCTGTTGCTAATCTATGTATTAATATTGTTTTTCCAGAGTTTTACCCCCATTCCCAGCATAAGGCACTAGTAGATTCAGGCGCGGCTGGGAATTTTATTGATCGCCAGTATGCTCGTAGTTTAGGGATCCCTACTGTGTCTGTTGATAAACCTTTCCCTGTGCCTGCATTAGATAGTCGCCCGTTAGGGTCAGGCATAATCAGGGAGGTCACCGCTCCATTTCTCATGAGGACGCAGGGGGGTCATGAGGAGAGGATTAGCCTCTATCTGATTGATTCTCCTGCGTATCCTGTGGTGTTGGGACTTCCCTGGTTAACCATTCATGACCCCACGATTTCATGGCAACAGAGGGCTCTCAAGGGATGGTCCGGTCAGTGTTCAGGGAGGTGTGTAGGAGTTTGCTTGGGGGCAACTACGGTGGAAAGTCCAAACCAGGTTTCCACTATGCACATTCCTGCCGAGTATGCCGATTTGGCTATCGCCTTCAGTTAAAAGAGGGCGACTAAATTATCACCCCATCGTCCGGGGGATTGCGCGATAAATCTCCAGGTAGGAGCTGCACTTCCCCGGAGTCACGTGTATCCTTTGTCTCAGGAGGAGAGGGCAGCTATGGAGACATATGTCACCAAATCTCTGAGACAGGGATGCATTCGGCCATCCACTTCACCTGTCTCCTCGAGTTTCTTTTTTGTGAAGAAGAAAGATGGTGGGTTACGCCTGTGCATTGATTACCGTGGCTTAAATCAGATTACCATCAAGTACAGCTATCCATTACCCCTGATAGCTAGTATGACGGAATCATTGCACGGGGAACGCTTCTTCACAAAATTGGATCTCAGGAGCGCGTACAACCTAGTGCGTATCCGGGAGGGAGATGAGTGGAAGACGGCATTTAGTACCACCTCTGGACATTATGAGTATCTTGTCATGCCATACGGGTTAATGAATGCTCCATCAGTTTTCCAATCATTTGTGGATGAGATTTTCAGGGACCTGCACGGACAAGGGGTAGTGGTGTGTATTGATGACATCCTTATATACTCCACTACAAGGGCCGAGCATGTGTCCCTGGTGCGTAAAGTACTTGGAAGACTGTTGGAGCATGACCTGTATGCTAAGGCAGAGAAATGCCTGTTCTTTCAGGAGTCCATCTCCTTCCTAGGGTACCACATGTCCGCGTCTGGGGTGAGGATGGCGAGTGACCTCATTTCGGCCGTGCGTAATTTGCCGACTCCAACCACGGTGAAGGAGGTGCAGCGATTCTTGGGGTTTGCCAACTACTACCGGAGGTATCCGGGGCTTTGGTCAGGTAGCGGCTCCCATTACCTCGTTGCTGAAGGGGGGACCAGTGTGTCTGCGGTGGTCAGCTGAGGCGGACAGGGCTTTTAGTCAGCTGAAGGACCTGTTTACCTCTGCTCCAGTGCTGGCTCATCCGGATCCCTCCTTGGCCTTCACGTTTGAGGTGGACGCGTCCGAGGCTGGGATAGGCGCTGTACTTTCTCAGCGCTCGGGCACGCCACCCAAGCTCCGCCCCTGTGCTTTCATTTCGAAGAAGCTCAGCCCGGCAGAGCGCAACTATGATGTGGGGGACCGGGAGCTGTTGGCTGTGGTCAAAGCCCTGAAAGCTTGGAGACATTGGCTTGAGGGGGCTAAGTTATTCTGTCATGTACTGCTCATTCATTAATTCAGTCATTCAATCTAACAAACATCATTAGGCACAGTGTTCAACATACTTTATTGCTCAAAACGTTTCCCTATATACTTCCAAGGGCAATGTGTTTTGCAAGTCATAAGACAACTATTGTCTAGCCCATTAGCCCATTGGAAAGTGTGCCAACATATCTCCCTGCAAGCAATGTAAATACAGTGGGGTCCAAAATTATTGACATCCTTGATAAAGATCAGCAAAACAGGCTATATAAAATAAATGATTGAAATAGCAAGCTATATTGTATGCAATTTTTACTGATAGAATTGCTCAGAGAAAGAGATTTTGTATAACAAGTAATCATTGGTGTGTTTGGCGTCGAAATGAGAATGCAGAAAATAACCCCATACCTACTGTAAAATATGGTGGTGGATCTTTGATGTTATGGGGCTATTTTGCTCGCACTGGTCCTGGGGCCCTTGTTAAAGGGAAATGGAAAAAATAGGCTTTAGAACACCAGCTAACTGTAATTGTAAATCGCCATATTGGCATTGTTGCGTCACTGGCAGAACAAAACGTTTTGTAACTCCCCAAAATTGCCAATAAACCTAAAACCGTTCATGTTTGAGCCAATCGTTGCCCCAGATCAGAGAGTTTGTTCTCGTAGCAGTAGCAACACAGATAGGCTGCCTGCGACACCTCAGCCAGCAGAGGTGACACAAACTGGTATGAGTGCGGGTGCTGCCAGATAATGGCTAGGGAGTATGAGTGTGTGTGTCGTAGAGCGATGGTGGCGATACAGCACAAACTCCCAGGGGGTGGTGTCTGTATTGCTTCCAGTCAGAGGTTCCAGTCAGTCTGTTTTGAAGGCGATGTGTTGGACGTGTCACTAATTCTTATGAAGGACTTCCTGGCAGAAGAGGGTTCGACCAGTCAGCAGCCAGTTAGCCAGTTAAATAATTGCTGATATTTTGCTTGAACATAAGTTGTTTGAAGCTAATGTCACAACAGTACTTATCACCATCGCTGTATTTGTATTTATTAAGGATCACCGTTAGCTGCTGCCAAGGCATGTGGTCTTCTCTAGCTCAATTGGTAGAGCATGGCGCTTGTAACACCAGGGTAGTGGGTTCGATCCCCGGGACCACCCATACGTAAAAATGTATGCACACATGACTGTAAGTCGCTTTGGATAAAAGTGTCTGCTAAATGCCATATTATTATTAAGACATTACATTTCATAACACTTTTCACAACACATTAAGTGTGTTCCCTCAGGCCATTTCTCTACTACCACATATTTACTGTTACAGGAGGGGGTCGCAGTTCTGGAGCGACCCACTAGGTGTCATCCTCCGACAACCTTAGGCACCTCCTCACTCACAGTCGG